GAGAGCCCCTCCCTCTAGGGGTCCCTTCTGAGCCCGGAGAGCCCCTCCCTCTAGGGGTCCCTTCTGAGCCCGGAGAGCCCCTCCCTCTAGGGGTCCCTTCTGAATGGGAAGGATGCTGTTGGCATGGACGCAGGTTGCAGGGGCTGAGGGAAAAGGTGGCCGTGAGGAGACAGCGTGTCTGCTGCAAAAGCGGGGAATAGGGTGGCGGTCGGAGGGAGCCACGCGATGAGGTCGGCTCCTTTTTTCTTTATTTTCTTTCAGGTAGGAGAGATTTATGCATGTCTGCAGGCAGAGAGGGGCCAGTGGGGAAGGACTGATTGAAGATTCTAGAGAGAGGAGATAATTGATGGAGCTAGGCCCCCTAGGAGACAGGCAGAAAATGGAGTGCAAAAGGCACAGTGCGATATGAAAGGAGAAAAAACAGAATGTCTGTCAGCAGCTGCTGTTTTTCCAGAGTGACGCCCTTAGATGGCAGTTAGCCACGGTGTGGCTGGGGGACAGGCCTCTGCCAGCGGCGCAGGCCAGGGCTTCTAGAGTCTACCAGGAGGGGAGTGGGCCTCCCCCCCCCCCGCCCCCTCTGAGGCCCAGCGTGTTCTGGACAAGCCTAGACCCAGTTCCACGCCTAGAGCCAGGAGTAGAAGTCAGTTCCTCACCTTGTGACCTATCTGGGCTGTTTAACTTTTTTGGTTGCGTCCTCCGCACCCCCAACCCCGCCCCAAATCCAGAACCAGCCAAAATGAACACCAGTGGTACCTGCCACCCACGAGGACAGGCTGCCTCTAAAATGCCTACCTGGCTTTTCCCCATTTCCTGTCCTTATACGAGGCTGCACCTGCCATCCAGGGGTCTGGAAAGCAGCCAGCAGAGGGGTCGCTGACTCAGACCCCGGCTGGGCCCCGGACAGGTGAGTTTCTGAGGAAGAGAAGGTTGCAACGCCATAAATAGTCCTTGATTTGCATGGAGCTGCCTTCCTAGAAAATGCGAAACACACTGAAAACTACTTAGCTTTTGGAGAAGGAATCATCGGAGACAGGACTGGCCCTGCAGCCCTGGCCTCCTCGGTTACTGTCCCTGGCCCACGCAGCAAGCGGAGACTCCCAGGCGCAACCCACTGGTTTCGAGAATGTCCCCACCCCTGAGAGCCCTTGGGTCTCATGCTGGGTGCGAGCACCTCTAAGGGCCCTCAGGTTTGCAGGTGCCACTAACAGAGTGCCCCCTTCCTGTGTCCTTCCTTCCAGAAGACGCCCGGCGCCCCAGGACCCCACCCAGGCCCCGGTGGCCCAGCGAGCAGGAGCACTCGCTGCACGAGTCCTGGGACTCCCTCAGTGCCTTCGACCGCTCCCACCGAGGCCGCATCTCCAACCTGGAGGCCCAGGGCGACATCCTGGACGAGTTCCTGCAGCAGCAGAAGAGCAGCCGCCACAGCGAGCAGCCGCGGCCCCGGAAGGGGGAGAAGCAGGAGCCAGAGGCCGAGCAGCTCAACCACTGTGTGGAGACAGACGACGGGAGCGACTTCAAGATCCCCGTCCTGCCTTCTGGGCAGCGCTTGGTCATCGACATCGCGTCTACGTGGGGGGACCGACACTATGTGGGCCTGAACGGAATAGAAATCTTCAGCTCCAAGGGCGAGCCGGTGAAAATTGCGAGCATCCAAGCAGACCCGCCCGACATCAATATTTTACCGGCCTACGGGAGAGACCCCCGTGTGGTCACCAACCTCATCGATGGGGTGAACCGGACCCAGGACGACATGCACGTCTGGCTGGCCCCCTTCACGCCGGGCCAGTCTCACTCCATCTCCATCAATTTCACGCACCCTTGCCAAGTCGCCCTGATCAGGATTTGGAATTACAATAAATCCCGGATACATTCCTTCCGCGGCGTGAAGGACATCACAATGCTGTTAGACGAGCAGTGCATCTTTAAAGGAGAAATCGCCAAAGCCTCTGGAACCCTGACGGGAGGTATGGTATGCCTGTAGAACATTCTTGAAACCTCCACTTGCGACCCACCAAGGTGCTGAGGGAAATCTAAGCCTGCTGGCTGGCCGGAGACAGACAGGTGTCCTTGGCTTTGGAAGACCCGGCCCTCTCACCAATGCAGCCTGGGCGGACAAGAGTTGGCCTTTGTAAACTCCTCCCCTGGGCACCGGTTACTCGGCCCCCCCAGGGCCTGAGCTACACAGGGGGCTTCTGCAGATGATTTAATCAGAGGGCACTCCCAGGAGAACCTGCAACCTGCAGGGCGGCAGGGGGAGGGCTGCAGGCAACGGAAGGTGGAGAAGTTAGGGAAGAATACAGTTTCTCAGGAAGCCTGGTCTCAGCCAGATCCCAGTTCCAGAGCCTAAATTGCAGGTCTGTCCTGCAGTGAGGCGAAGCAGCAGGCCTTTGGGACACTGCAGGCTCCCTGGGTTGGGGGTGTGACTCCCATGCCGTTCTAGGCAAGCATCCCCTGAAATATCAAACAATCAGCAGGGCCTTGCATGGGGCAGCGAAAGCATCTGCAGCAGTACCTCCCTCAGGCCTAAGAAATGGTACTTACTTCATGACCGATAGCAAAGATGCTCACTAAATCAGGTCCCTTCATCAAAGCTATGTGGTTCTTACTGTGTGGGCCCCACTTGCCGATATGTGAAGACCAAGGCGCACAGATCAAGAACTATTAGTGATGTGAGGCTGTGTAGCACCGAGGTTGATGGGTTGAAGTTCCCAAGCCACAAATCATTGGAATTTGAGGTGAGCTGACACTTCTCTTCTTCCTGGTAACCTGTGCAGCCCCAGAGCACTTTGGAGACACAATCTTATTCACCATGGATGATGACATTCTTGAGGCCATATTCTGTTCTGATGAGACATTCGACATGGACCTGGAGAGCCTTTGCAGCCTGCAGGGTGAGGAGGCACTGAGGAGGCCCAGCACAGCCGATGGCGAGGGCGAGGAGCGGCCATACACCCAGGCTGGCCTGTGGGCCGAGGACCAGGTAGGACAGGGTGGGAGGGGTGAAGCAGGTGGGTGTCTGGAGAAAGATTTCCGCTCCTAAGTCAGAGTAGAGCAGGATGAATGAAGATGAACAGCTTTTAACTACTGATGCTACTGTTTGGACGTCTCTCATTTTTCTACTTCGTTTTTGTCCTGTGTGTCATATTTCATTCTCTAATTACTATTTTTTTCTTTAGCTAAAGTGAAGAAAGTATTCAAATTTTAAGCAAAGCTAGGAGGAATCCATTCTGTGTCATCTCCATAATTGAGAGGTCAGCTGTTTCAGGGGAATTTTAACTTTGGACTGCATTTTAATCGCTGACTTGTTTTGTTAGAAGGCCCAGAAATGCTTCTAATGGGCGTGTGTGGCATTAAAATGATGGCAACCCTGGTGGGCACTTCCCAGTCTCCCTAGTAATCCAGTCATGGAGAGCTGTGATCTTGTGTAACCCACTGTAACAAGCCTTGAGAAGAGATGATTAATTTTCCCACTTAGGACACCAAGGCTAGAAGGCCGGGTGACCTGCTGGGTGACCTGCCCAAGAGCACAGAGTGGGTCAGCAGACAGAGTGGGAATACACGACCCTGGCGTCCATGCTTCCAAATGACAGCGGCGCTTTCTAAAAACCAGCTTGAAATGTCTGAGACCAGCATTACAGAGTCAAAACTGGTCAGACCTGGCTCTATCCAGTAAAAACTGCTTTGAACTAGTTTTAGCAGGTCAGAATGGGTTTGAACCATTTTTATGCAATCAGAACTGGGTAGTATCAGTTTATCTGATTTCCACTAGTCAGAACCTGCTTCTTCTGGTCACAACCTGTTTGTAAGGTTTTATTTAGTCAGAACTGGTTAATACCAATTTTATCTGGTTTTCTCTGGTCTGGACTGATCTAAGGCAGTTTTATCGAGACAGAGCCAGTTTCAGCTGGCTTATTGGGTTTGAAACTGTTTTTCCCAGTCAGAACTGGGAACCAGTTTTATCTGTTTTTTGTTTTTTTTTTTCCACTTTGAGCTGGTTTTACCCAGTCAGAACAGGTTAATTAATACCAGATTTAGCTCTATTTGGACCATCCTGAACCGACCAGAACTGGTCAGACAAGACAAGAGGTTTTACCTGGTTTTATTCAATCACGGCCAGTTTGGCAGCAGCTTGAACTGATTTAAAGTCAGAACTGGTAACCAGTTTGAATCGTTTCTGGTTAGAATCGGTGTTGGTTAGAACTGGTCAGAACCAGCTTGAACCTGTTTTACCCAGTCATAAAATATTTGAACTGGTTTTATCCAGTCAGAACAAGTGTGAGCTTGTTTCATTTGGTTCACAACATGTTTAAAACCCACTTTTATCTGTTCAGAACCAGTTTTATACAATCAGAACCATTGTCACCAGATCTTTCTAGTCTAAATCAGCTGTTTCTGGTATAAAGTGATTTTATCTGGTCTGAACCAGTTATTTCCAGTTAGAACTATCAAAATAGTTCAGACAGGACACTGGTTCCCACAGATTGAAAATGGCTGAAACTGGTTCTGACTTGTTCAAACCAACTGAAACTAATTGAAAGTGACTATGAATCGCTCAAACCGCTGAAAGTGGGTCAGACTGATTTCAACCAGTTGGAACTAGTTTCAGCAGGTTTGAGCAGCTGGAGCTAACTGGTTTCAGCAGGTTTGAGCAGTTGGAGCTAATGTCAATTGATTTTACTTTCAGTTGGTTTGCACTGATTCTTGACAGAATCAGTGTCAGTTGCTTTTAGTTCCAGTTGTTTTCAGTTTCAATTCCTTGAACAAATCAGAACTGGTTTCAAGCAGGTTCAGTTTCAATTGGTTGGAATAAGTCAGAACTAACCAGAACCAGAATCAGCCAGTATGAACCAGTTGGAACTAGCTTGAACCAGTCCGAAGTGGTTTCATGAGTCAGATCTGGATGGAACAGTTGGAGCCAGCGTCTGTTGGTTTTGACTTGGTTAGTTTGAACAAGTCAAAACCTTGAGACAGAACCAGTCAGTTGGTTTCAGTTTCCCTTGTTTGCACTTCAAATCTTTGACCAGTCAGAGTCAATTTCAGGAATTTTCAGTTGTTTGGAATACGTTAGAACCAGCTGGAACCAGTTTTCGCTGATTGGAACCAATTTGAACTGGTTTCAGCTCATGGGAACTGGTCTGAACCTGTTTCAGGTGATCATAACTGGTTGGAACGGGTTTCAGCCAGTCAAACCCACTTGCAGCCTGTTTGTGCGATTGGAGCCAGTGTCAGCTGGTTTCACTTTCAGTTGAACAAGTCAAAACCTTGAGATAGTGAGAACAATTGTCAACTGGTTTCAATTGTTTTCCCTTTCAGATCTTTGAAGAGTCAGAGTCTGTTTTCAGGCGGTTTCAATTTTGAATAAATCAGACTCAGCTTGAGCTGGTTTCAGAGCTGGCTTCAGCTGAAACAAATTCAAACAGGCTCTGACCAGCTGAAACCAGTTCTGACCAGCTGAAACCAGTTCTGACCAGCTGAAACTGGCTTAGACCAGTTCTAACCAGCTGAAACCAGTTCTGAACAGCTGAAATCGGTTTTGACCAGCTGAAACCCAGTTCAGAGCTGCTGAAACTGGCTCTGCCAGCTGAAAACGGCTCTAAGCAGTTCTGACTGCTGGTTCTGACCAGTTCTAACTGGTTGAAACCAGTTCTGATTTATTGAAACCAGTTCTGATCAGCTCAGACTGGATCCAGCTGGCTGAAACTGGCTCTGAGCACCAGTTTTGACTGCTTCAGTAAGAACCAATTTCAGCTGACTTGAACTGGTCTCAGCTGCTCAGAACTAGGCAGAACCAGTTTTGACTGACCAAAACCAGTTTCAGCTGGCTTGAACTGGTCAGAACTGTCCAGAACTGGTTTGAACCTGCCAGTTTCAGCTGGTCAGAACTGGCTTGAACTGGTCAGATCTGGTTTCAACTGGCTGGAACTGGGTTTTAGCTGTTCAGAACTGGCCAGTCGAAACCAGTTCTGACCAGTTCTGACCAGTTCTGATTGAGACTGCTTCAAGCTGACTGAAACTGGTTCCAACCAGTTCAAGCCAGCTGAAACCAGGTCCTGACAGATACCAACTCAACCTGAATCTGAAAGTGAAACCAAATGACAGCTCCTCCCTGGCTCAGAAAGGATGAAACTGTTTCCAAACATTTCTGATGAGTCCAAGCCAAGAGAAACTGAGAAACACATGGAAATCGGTTCTGACTTCTTCAAAGAACTGAAACCAAAAGGAACATTGGTTCAGTTGGTTTAAGTAAGTCAGAGCCAGTCTGAACTGTTTTCACCCGGTTTGTACCAGTTGGAATTGTTTTGCACCTGTTAGAACCAGTTTTAGCCAGTGTGACCTAGTTTCAGCCAGTTTGAGAAATCGAAGCAAGGGTCAATTGGTTTAGTTATGAACCAGTTTTACCCAGTCAGATCTTTTTTAATACTAGTTATTTGATTTTCTCCAGTTTGAACTTGTTTTGTCCATTCAGAACAGGTTTGAACCATTTTTTTCTGGTCAGAAACTCCAGCCAGTGTGAAAATCCTTGCCTGCCTTTATCACCAATCACAGCTTCCACATAGAAAGAAAATACAATAAGAGACACAGGTCTTATCAGGGGCACAAGGTGGACAGCGGTATCTGTTGAAATGGCCAACCAGCTGTGTAGGTATCACTACATTCATCCCCTTTCTCTCTATTTCTCTCCCAACCCAGGAGCAGGAGCTACCACCCAGTTGCCCTCTCCCTGAAGTCACCACCCCAGAGCCAGGTGTCTACCATGGAATCTGTGAGTGTCCTCTCCGGGGGCAACGTGGAGTAGAAGAAAGACTTTTGGGGGAGTTGTGGGCACTTGGGACATTTTCCCTGGATAGTCAGCAGATTGTACACTAGCAGAGAGGCAGGAGGCGGTAGCCAGTCTTCTTGTGGCCCTGGCCGGCTTTCTCTCCTGTGCCGAGCCTCTTTGGGGTTCGCTTTCCCAGAGGCACACTTTTAAACTTTGCGTGCAGACACCTGTGTGTTACTCTCACCCTCACCTGGGTGGCTGAGCTAGAACCCTGTGAATGGAGAACAAGACAATATGAGCCAGAAGAGATGGAGGCACCTGTCAGTCCAGTGGTCTATTGTCCCCTCAAGCCCCACCACGGAGCAGGTGCAGAAGGAACTCCCCAGCCAGCTCCAGTGGGGTGTGTCCCCCCAGCTCCAGTGGGGTGGGGCAGCAGGAATATGGGCCCAGCATGCCAGGTCATTTGAAAGTGGGAAATCTGGACTTCAGCATTTTAAATGTTGGTGTTTCATTCTGTAATCATTTAAAACACCGCACACAGTGTCATTAGCCTGCCGGTGTCAGTGTGTGACCTCAGAGCAAATTCCATCTGAGTTTCACTGCGTCTGTCCCCCTCTTCCTTCCTGCTTCCAGCATCCCCACTGTGACTTACACCTCCATGCCAGCCCCCCACCTGCCATCTCAGGGAACCGTCAGCCGAGATCGGGGCTGGCGGTGATCTCCTCCCTGGTCCCTGTTACCGGCTCCCTCGCTCGTCCCTTGCAGCCTCACCTGCAGCTTTCTTGCCCCTGGTACTGTTCATCAACTTCCGTTACCTTGTGACAGCGAGCTGAGCCAGGCTGTTGTCAGGCGCCCCTCCTGGCCTCACCACCATCCTCTGCACAATGAAGCTGAAGCCGCTGCGTCTGCGCCCCCAACGCTCCTCCTAGTGCAGGCTGTTGTGCAAGCCCAGCCCTCTGTCCCCAGGGCCCCCCACTCCACTCTCCTTCCGAGGTGGACTGCCCCCTCTAGATGACTGGGCTCCCAAGACGCAGCTCAGGGTGGTGTTTATGGGGTGTGCTCTTGGGCAAGGCAGGAAATGGGCGCTGGGTGTCATCACACCAAGGCGACTGTCAGCTCCACAGGGGCGCCCTTGGAGTTGGCCTGACTCAAAGCAGCCGGGCCCTATATTCTATGAATGCTAGGTATGTGCTGCCCAGGGAAGAGCTAAGATTAGGGCAGTCACGGTGAGGGACTCAGCTGTGAGCCGTCAGCATGGTGCTCCCAGCTCCTATGGAATGAGGCCACCCTGGCCCTGAGGGGTGGGGCCTGGGCAGGTGTCCAACTTGCTTCCATAATTCTTCTAAGGCCCTGCTGCACCCCAGCTCCTTCTGCTTACCTACTCCACAAAGGCCTGTTACCCCTTAGGGGAAAAAAAGGAAGATGCCTGCCTTGAACCCACAGCTCTTTACATTCTAGAACACTCTCAATTACTCTAGGCCATCAGAGGAATTTCAAAATCCAACCTCATGCAGATAAGAAGCAGGCTGGAGAGGTGGTCCTGTCTCTCATCTTGGCTCTGTGCCACGTTTGGTTAAGAATCAGAGAGCTTGAGTAACCCACCCCAGGTCACATAGCTAGTACTCAAATTGAGAATGGAACCCAGCCCACACCCTCGCCACTTCACCTCAGGGCTCTCATAGGGAGACTGCCTCACATCAGAGGTCTTTGTGAAGGCAAGGCCTCTGTTGAGACCTGTGAGGTCCTCAAGAAGACAGTTACTTCTTGTTCACTTTGGTCTCCCCTCATCAGTCAGGGTTCTTTCTTTTGTTTTGGGGGTGGTAGACAGTGGAGATTTAGACTCAGTCTGAGCTAAGCCACTGTAAAGGCCAGGGGGTGGGGTAGGGGAGGGGGAGCCAGTTTCCCTGCAGGATCCGGGTGTGCATGTGCGTGTGATGTCACTAACCCTGGGCTGACCAGCAATAGCAGAAGGAAGCGGAGGTGGCCGGTGGACCAGGACCAGCCACTGTCCCCGTCACCCCATGATTTCCCTGAAGATTCTGTCTGTAAATGTCTTTCCCACCAAACTAGCTTCTGACCTTTCTCAGAAATGTTATTTCAATGCCGTGGGGAGCTTTGCCCTGGAGGAAAGCTCAGAGACATTTTTGCTGCAAGCAAAGTATAATTTCTCAGCTTCTGTGCTCAGTAGGAAGGCAGAAGAACCTCTTGACCAAGCATTCTCTGCAGGTTGGAAGCTCCGTGCTTTTTAAATCTCTTTCTGAACCTTTGGCTTTTTCCACACTCTATGCCAAATCCTAAACCTACTTTACCGGCCTGTGCAAATGGAGAGAGCTTTGATAAAGTGGCCCTGGGCGGGGGGGGGGGATGTGTTGGGGTTAGTAAATATGGCGAATCCCATTAATGTTTTGAAAGGGGATATATGACTTGCTAATTTGCAGATGACACTAATTTTGGACGTTTTGCAAATATCATCAGTGATGAATAGGAAAGGAGCTTAGAGAGTTGAAACAGGGGAGAGAAATAACAAAATTAATTTCCATTTATATAAATACTAATTGATACACCAGAGGAAAATGAATACAGAGCGTGGCTATTAGCTCAGAAAGGAGAGCAATTGCTTTCTGCGCGGCCCAAATTAGCTGGCATCACAGTGCCTCTTGCCAGGCAAACCAAGGGACGGCAGCAGGCTCCGGCGAGGCCGGCGCGGCCTGGCGCTCTCTCGGGGAGGTGGCAGTCCTCCCTCACTCTCCTCCGAACCCCAGGCCTTCTCCAGGAATGGGGCCCTCGGCCATTCGCAGACGGCTCGAGCGTCTCTCCCTCACTTCCACACAGGCCACCAAGAGTCGTGGCCTTGCCAGCCCCAGAACAGCTCCCACATCTGCCCACTTGTGCCTGCTTTCACCGCTGCCACCTTGTCAATGCCACCAGTATCCCAACACTCTCCTCCCCAGTTTCCCGCTAGAATCCAGCCACAGTTCCCTTTCTCAGGCGCTGAGCAATCTGCCATCCACACCCATCCCTGCCTTCAGAACTCACAGCTCCAGTTAGCTCCCGTGCAGAGAGAAGAAAACCCAAACTTCCGGTCGTGATCTTGTGATCTTGCCCCTGCTGAACCTTGGGTCTCGGTTTCCTCCATCTTCTCTGTTGGTTACAAGCTTGCAACCACAGCGACCTTTGCCCTTGCTGACCTCCCCGTGTAGAATAGCCCTCCAGGGAGGGTAGCTGCCTTAGCATCCAGTTCTCAGCTCAAATGTCCCCTCCTCAGAGAAGCCCTCCCTGACCACCCCTGCTCCTCCTCAGCCAGTCACATCTGTTTCATTTTGCTCAGGGTATTCATCGCTCTGTGGCACTGTCACCTGTTTGATCAGTGTGCTTTCATCTGTCTTCACAACGGTGGAAGCTCCTAGAATACCAAGAATTCACTGTGTGCTCACTCTGTCTCTCCGGTGGCCAGAACAGGGCTTGGCACCTATTAGGAGGTCACTACAGTCTTGTTCACCACTGACAAAAACAAGCCAACAGAGGTGGAAAATGTGGTTAGGTCGTCACCCGTGCTGTGACAAAAATACAGTGGGGCTTGGGGCTAGAGTGATGGAGCAGGGTGTGCTGAGCTGGGGCGACTGGACAAGGCCTGTGCACACAGACACAGGTGACAACTGCATCCTTAGTTTGTTGTTTTTTTTGCAGCTGAACAAATAATTCAAAACTCAGGAGCTTCATGCCAGTCCCGTCTGTTCGCTACTCGCCATAATCCAGGGGCTTGCCTGGGCGGGTCTCCCATGAGCCTGGCTGGCCTCTGGGGCTCTCCTCAGGTGTCTGGTGGGCTGGCAGCTGAACGGCCTAGATGTCGCTGCCCATGGCACTCAGTTATCTTGGCCCCTGGCGAATGGCAGGATCTTAGGCTGAACTCAAACGTGTGGGGAATGACAGGGACATGGAAGAATTTGTGCCCTAGGAAGTTGAGTGGCTTACCCTTGCCTTCCCCCACCCTGCCGCCTCGGGCTTCTAATGCCTCAGCCCAGCTGACACAGGCCCTGGAGGCAGCCTCCAGCACACGGCACTGGCCTTCTGGGAGAGTTGCAGAGTATGACTCTTCAACACAGACACCCAAAAGGATGTGACAGAAGGCTCCAGTCTCTCCAAGGACAGAAGAGTTCCTTGGGCCGGGTCCTGCTCCAGTGGAGACCATGGAGGAAGGAGACGTTCTGGCCAAGTGTCTCACAGGCCCTGACCGAGAGCCACACACATGAGCTTCCTGGGCAAGCAAATGACTCAGCTGGGTCATTTTGCCCAGAACCACAGAAGGTCACTTCTTAATGGTCTCTGATGGAGCAAAGGCAAAAGGCTGTCAGTGTCTTCCTTTACCCTGATTTCACCCAAATCCACGTGATTGTGGCCAGTGTTCATAAATCGGCAATTTCCAGGCATGGTTTCCCGATGTAGTGTCTCCATTTGGTTACTTGTTCATCGCTTCATCTTACTGAGCTCCTACTATGAATCAGGCCCTATGCCAAGTTCTTGGAACACAATGGTCTAGAAAAACAGGCAGGGTTTCTAGCCCCAGGGAATGTGTTGCCCGCATGGCAAAATGCCCACAAGGTCACAGCGGGACCAGGACACAGAGGAGGAAGGTCACTGTGACATGGCAGGCTCTGAGTCGTGCTTTGACATGGCCAGAGGTTGGGAGGGCTTCCCTGCTGAAGGGGACTGGGATCTGAGGGACAAGCCCAGTTTAACCAGGACATGGGGTTGCTGAAGGGAAGAACAGCAACGCCACGTTCCTGTGACAAGCGAGAGGAGTGTGGAGGTCTGCACTGAAAGACAGTGCAGATGGATCATGGGACCCCCGAGCAAGAGGGGACAATGGAAGTAGCAAGAGGGGACGATGGAAGTAGGTAGAGGCCACATGGTGGGGAAGGGCACAGCACGACTCTGGCCCCGTCATCCTGCAGACAACAGCAGCAGTGTGCTGAGCCGAGGACCTGCGGGGAAGGCCGGAGCCAGTCCTGGAGGCACATTCATTTGAGTCTGGGTTTTCAAATTGGCAGAATGTCGAGGCTGCAGACCAGACCGTGTACTTTTCCCATCTCCTTGGGGACTTCTGGAACCGCTGGTTTTCACAGCCACTTTTCTTCCTGCAGGCCTTCAGCTGAACTTCACTGCGTCCTGGGGGGACCTACATTACCTGGGGCTCACGGGCCTGGAAGTGGTAGGCAAGGATGGCCAGGCGCTGCCCCTCAGCCTGCACCAGATCTCCGCCTCCCCCAGAGACTTAAATGACCTCCCTGAGTACACCGATGACTCCCGGACTCTGGATAAGTAAGTGTCTCTGAGAAGCCTAACTCTCACGAAAGCACGCCTTGGGGCCCTGCTCTGCTGACACTTCAAACACCAAGTAGCCTTCCCTTCCCCACCTTCTCCCACCACCTGGTCAGATCTGTGGTCTTTCTATTTGATGGTCAAGAGACACCAAGGTCAGGACAGGCTGGTGACCGCTTCAGCCTTGGGGGAGCGGGGTAGGAGCCTGTGCCCTCTCCGCCGAGCTCAGCCAGCCTCACACGGCAGCCGCTCAGGAAGCCCTTGTGGTTGACACTGTGCTGAGGCGGGAAGAGCCTCTCTCAGAGACTGGAAGCTCCCCCCTCCTTGACTCAGAGGTGGCTGCTGAGGAAGTCTCCTTAATTGGCAATGCCAGATTTCCTGAGCCAGGAGGGATCGAGTCAAGGGGACCCGCCTCAGGTTTGGCACCGGTTGGGGGACTCCATAAACCAAACACTGGTGCTCAGTCCTCCTGATCAGCACAGCTGTCAGGTCTGGCGTTGCCCGGGTGTGGGAATGAGAGGGCCTAGGCCAGGCAGAGGGTGAGTGTTCCATCCGGGGTCTGGCCTGTGCCAGCTAGTGAGTCTCTTACCCTCTCCAATAATAATATTGGATTGTCGGAAAAGCCATGACTTTTTTCTCTATGCTAAAATGTGCCGTGGCTTTTCTGACAACCCAATGGTAACAATAATCATAATAATAACTGATATGGACATGAAAGCTGCCTAAATGTCCATCAATAGAGGATTGGGTCAAGAAATGAAGTCTGTCTATACTATGGACACTATTCAGCCAAGGAAAGATGAAATGATGCCATTTGCAGGAAAATGAAGGGCGTTGTGTACCATCAAGCAAGTCAGAATGACAAAAATTCTCAACATTTATGCTATAAGCAAATAATAAATGCAGTAATGGACCCTCCTGGAGGTGCAAGGGTTTAGTTAAAGCGCAGCACTATAAAGCTGTCCACAGCCCCTGGAGTGCAGGTTCGATCCCCAGCAAGGAGCTGACCCACATGGCGTAGCAGACCTCTCCTGTCTCGCCAGCTGCTCCCCTCAGGCAGAGTCAATCTGCCTGATCAGCTCCTCACTGTCTCTGGTGAATCCACTTACCCCCACACCTCTTGTATGTATAAATAAATAAATCTTTAAAAAAAAATACAGTAAAGGCTCTAAGAACAAAATGGGGAGAAAGGGATAAGGGGACCTCAGGGGTGGTGAGGGGGGAGAAAGTTTACGGACAGTGTAATGAGTATCTGAAACCTGAATTTCTGGATGTTTGGTGGGTACATGAGTAAGACGTGCCTTCCACTGTAAGGAAACTTATTGGTAGTTTCCAACTTGATAGACTTTATCTCCTTCTTCCGAAAAGAAAACTAAACAGTAAAATACCCCCAAGACTGCATCAGCAACCCTGGAGGCCCAGCTGGCTGAGGGGATACCTATCAGCAGGAGGTGCTGTGTGGGGCTGGCGGGGACGCGCCCCCAGCCAGGGGCACGAACAGCATAAAATCTTACTGGCTGCTCCATTTTATCTTCTGCTGCTCCGCTTGAGTCTCTGTGTGATGCACTTGACATTTTGAGCATGAGGCGAAGGGGAAGGTAGAAAACGAGGCCTAAGGAGAGTACAGCAGAAAAGTAATTGACACCAAGAGGTTGACGGGCCTGCTCTGGAGAGCCTGCCTCAGAACTCAGTTCGTGAGCACTTGACTCAGGGGTACCCAGGGGCCCCAAACTGTTGAGGGCTGCATGCTCTAACAGGGGCCTGGCCATCCATGCACACAAAGACAAAGGAAGCAGACTCTTAGTGTGAAGGATTTTAATAGAATTGGTGTGCACAGGCAGAAAGAAGGAAAGGATTTCAAATAATAGTTTCCCAATAAAACTCCAAAAATTATCCGTCTCCTCTTGGGCAAGTGTCCAACTAACCCGGCTTGAGCCAGAACAGGACCACTGAGCCCCAAGAGCTTGCCACGTGTCTAAGATATTTCCTGCCAGGGAATCACAAGAAAGGGCGTTCGGCAGACCCCAGGAACTGGTACACAAGAAGGGATTCAAAATTCAAAATACACCACATACTCCACATGAGACCAGGATAATGGCTGCCACTGTCCCTGCCAAGAACCAGGAGCAGCCTGTCCCACGTGTGTCTTCCAGCTCCCTCTCCATGTGTTTCCTTTCCCACTCATTCCTCCGCTTATATATCCGCCCCCCTCCCTCCCAGCTGCCCCCCATTCAGGAGGTCTGGCGCGTGCCCTGCTGGGAGTTGTAGTCCGGGGTGACTGTGTGGAAGTGGAGGAGAACGGCGCCTTCATGCCCTTCCCTTTTCTGGAGATGCATTCTCTGACAGTTTTCATGAGGGAGATTTAGGTGTCTGGTGTTTTTAGTTATTCCTGACTTCTGTTGCTAGTCTCTGAATGAATCTCTGATTCATGGCACACCTTAACCTGGCAATCAAAACAATTACTTGATGCAGTTTTTTTTTTTAAAGATTTATTTATTTATTCATACAGAACTGGGGGTACAGGCCAGAGGTGCAGGGGCAGAGAGAATTCACCAGAGGACAGAGTGGGGAGCAGAACAGGCTGACTGGCGAAGTACACTGCTGAGGGGAGCAGCAGGCAGGTCAGGAGAGATCTGCCATGCCATGTGGTCACCTCAGGGGTGGGGGTCAAACTCATGCTGAGTGGCTTTAGCTTCTTAGTGTTGTGCTTTAACCTGCTGCGCCACCAGGGAGGGCCCTTGATACAATTCTTTAATGAGCTGAACTCTGCGTCTCTCTATGTTGTATGTGTGATATATCTTAGTTTCTATTTTGTATATTTTCTCTCAATAGAAGCTACATTCGTGTCTTAGTTGATTCACGGCAATTCTGAACCCTGTGTAAAATCTTCCTTTTGAGGAACACCTTCAGACACATACAAATCTAAAAAATATCACGTCGTTCGTTCATGAATGGCTTGACTAATTTTCCACCGTCGTAACTGGATTCAAAGATATTAACGATCAGAATAGCTTAAAGTGCAAATAATGATGACGACGATGATATAATTGATACTAGGGCTGCCGTTTTGGGAGTGCTTACTAGATGCCAGCTCTGGGCTACGCTAAGCAGTTATAAATATTCACTTCCTGAAGTCTCCAACGGGCCTAAGAGGAAAGTACTATTATTACCTTCTAATCAGCACTAGAGAGAAGTGGAAAAGGAGCCAAAGCCCACCCAGACGGTCAAGCGGATGCAGGTCAGAGGAGGCTGACACCTGCTGCACTTACCCGCTGAGTTATACCATCTTCCTGCCTCAGTCTCCTCCTGGCTGGAGAGCAGGCAGGGAGTTTCCCCATGGCAGCTGCAGCCCCATCTGCCCCGTCAAAGAAGGCTCCTCCCTGCTTTCTACAGTGCGCTGGTGACCGTGGCCCTCCATCCCGCTGTCATCACCAGCTCAAGGCCATGCTGCACCCTGGGTCTTGGCAAGTCACATTCGTGCCTGCCTAAATTTGGAGCTGCAGAAGTGATCAGCTCACACCCACAGTGCTTGGTCAGCCCCCTGACCCTCTTCCTGCCTCTCTACCCAGATGGTGTTGCAGTAAATGCTAATTTATCTCTAAATATTTCACTTTGTATCTCCAAACAATACAGGCTTGAAAAAGAAAACAATCTCAGGACCATCACCACACCTTAAGGAAATTTACATTGATTCCTTTAATTACTAGGTACCCCGCTAGGTCCCATCTCCCTGACAGCACCCCCCCCCACCCCACCCCACACACACACCCCAGCCTTTCTTATGCTGTTCTCTTGGTTGTTCTTTGAACTTCGATTAAGATAAGGTCCACACTGTGATTGCGTGATATGTCTCCTAAGCCTCTTGTAATCTCTGGGTTCCCTTTGTCTTTTTTCATTTTTTTTTTCTTGTAAATTATCTGTTAAAGGATCAGGCTTCTTGCCCTGCAGAGTCTGGATTTTACTGCTTGTATCTCCGTGATGTTATTGAACCTGTTCCCGGGGCCGCTGCATTCGTGTAAATAGTTCATTAGACCTAGAAGCCTGGTCAGACTGTGGTTGAGCCCTGTGGCAAGAACCCTGGGCAAAGGCTGCCAGGACACACAGATCCCTGCCTGTCAGACTCCCAGAGGCATCGGTGACCGAGGTTTGGCGACTGGAGCCCGACCTTTATTAGGGACTGTGAAATGGTGGCACGCGGGCCCTGGCTTCCTTTTGTCACCCAGAAGGAGAACATTTTCCTCAGTTATTTGTTACTCTGACAGGAATTCAAACAGGAAGGGCAGTCTAAAGGCTTCTTTCTTTCCCTTCACTTCTGCAGTTCTCAAAATAGCAAATTGCTTCTCTAGCGTCCTTAAAAACTTGTGTTTGCTTTTGCCTTTCATACACTCATGCACTTAGATGTGCTATGTTTGGAGGGTTCCAGAGTATTCAGTTTCACTCTATTGATGCTCAAGTTGCCCCCTCTTGGACACTGGAAGCCCCTGGATCTTCTTTGAAAGTAGAGGCCTCGACAACTTTCTTGCTCTCTGATGTGACAAGATATTCAAGATATTCCAGGATCCTGTGGTATACTTCTTGTCCCAAATGTGGAGTCAGCCATTTCTCCAAGAAACCTGGTCCCATCTAGTGGGAGATGGTATTTAGAAACCATAATCTAAACACTGGGGATGCTCATTGCTACCAGGTTGGTCATTATTTCTAGATTTTTTGGTGACCGGAGCCAGGAACTGTGACAGGTATACTGCCAGCTATGAATACTCCAGCAATTCTCTCTGCTCTTGGAATTGGGCAGTAGTTTTGCTATGGAGGTGGCCACTATTCTAGGACAGAGAAGTAATAGCTTTTGGAAGAAATAGAAGGTTCTGTAGTGGTAGACCTCAGTCAGGTTAATTCCACAAGCACCCCAATGTTAAATTGCTGAATTTCCTCAGTTTTCAGATGCCAGCCATTATAAGACACACCATCCATCAATTTAATAACAGCCTTTTAGAGAAAGAAGAAACATTACCTCCTTGGATGAACACTTAGATTGCAAGATTTATTCCAAATCCAAAGCTGTAAAATGTAAAAGGAAAAAATAAAGTTTCTTTTTTGAACCTGCATGACTTCTAGTCAGGAGCCTTCAGGTCACCAGACAAATGGTTGGGGTTGGGGAGGGGCACCCAAGAGCCCCTAGAGTCAGACCCCTCTCCCCAGAGCCAGGTAGCCAAGCCAGACACATAAGTCAGCGTAAGGTCTGGGCTCTGGCATGCCAGGTGGTGCAAGGAAGAACAGTTTTTGGAACAGAGGCTGTGTGTCCTGAACCGAAGAGCCAAACAGCGCTCAGGGTGGACTGTCCTGGCCACAGCAGGGTCAGAGTAGCGACTGAGAGGAATGCAGCCCCTCCCCTCCCCGAAGCTGAGGGCTGTCGGGGACGCCCAGGCTGTGGGATCAGACCAGCTCCCCACAGAGGCACATGTCCACCGGAATAAACTTTCTCCCAGTTGTTTTTCTTTTCTTTCTTTCTTTTTTGTGTCTCTTTGCTTGGTCTAATTTCACAGATGGGAGATGGCCCCTCACTGCTGGTTTAATTAGTGTCGCCTGCCTCATGACTGGCTCCAGCCAGGCCCCGTCAGGAGGGGTGGCGCAGGGGAGCTGAGCTGGTACCCGCCCCGCGCTCTGCCTTCTGCCCGCCAGCCGGGCCGCCTGGTCTCACGGCTCCTTCCCGCCTGGTGCAGGTTAATCGATGGAGCCAACATCACCATGGAGGATGAACATATGTGGCTGATCCCCTTCTCGCCCGGGCTGGACCACGTGGTCACAATCCGCTTCGACAGAGCCGAGAGTATCGCAGGCCTGCGCTTCTGGAACTACAATAAATCTCCTGAGGACACCTATCGCGGGGTAAGCAGGGAGCAGCGGCTGCGCTCAGCCCACTGTCAGGGAGACGGCGCCTTGATGAATGGTTGGCGTGGCTGCCGAGAGGAGCATAAATCCTCCAGAACCTTCCAAATGGAACTGGGGGTTACGCACTGCCATTTCCATCTGCAAGCAGCCAGTGCTAAAGAACCAAGGATCTGCAGTGTTTGTTTCTCCTGGGGGGTCCAGAGGCCCTTAGCCCTGCTCGATTGCACCCTGATGATCGTTCACTGGGCTCTTTAGGGGTCAGGCCCTGAGCTGAGGGGTCAGCACCAGTTCCTTACTTCCTGGGACCCTGCCCCCATCTCGGGGAGGCAGGGGTTATTACCCCATCTTCACTATTGAAAACTGAACTTCAAAAAGGCCCCGTCTCTTGTCCAAGAGACCAGGCTAGCACCAGTCCAGCGTGGCCCAGGGGCACCCACAGGGTTATTCCCACCCGTGCTCCTCACCTGCCAGGTGTGGAGAGGCAGGGGATCTGTTGGGATGTGGAGAGGAGCCATTGAAGTGCCTTTTCCCAGGCTTCCAGGCCTTGTGCGGCTCTGAATTGTGAAGCACCCCCCACCCCGCACCTCCCTCCCCACCTCCCACTGCATCGCTGTGAAGATGATGAGGTCCCATAGAATGTGGTGATGGAGTGGGGGCCCTGGTCCCCTGCCCCCGAGACCAAGTCTCAGGCCTAACCAGCTGTGTGACCTTGGGCAAGAGGCCTGAGTTCTCCAGTCTCTGTTTCTCTGTGAGAGGAGGAGGATGCCCACGCCAGAAAGAGGACAGGGCCGGCCTCTGCCTCCCTTCCAGGTACCACGCAGCCACGGAGTTCCTCGGCACTGTGGTCTCAGGGGAGAGCTGAGCCCGGGGGACTCACCAGAGCAGCTGCTGCTCCCTGTGAACAGTGCACCAGTCCTCCCCAGGCCTCCCTGTGTCTTCCTCAGTGTGCTTTCTATTCCACGTGTCTCAGAAGTCAGATATATCGGCATTTAGAAACAGCATTCGTCCTCAGCAGTGGATGTCATCTGGGCGTCCTTCGAGCTCCCAGATGAAGGCCGTGTTTCCCAGGTGCGATTCTGCAGCCTGGATTCACCATCCAGAAACACCAGGTCACGGGCCCTGCTCCTGGGCCAGCCCTCACCAGCCACGCTGCCAGAGCCGAGCAGCTGCGGTGGGGTGGGGGCTGGGTGTGAGAGTCAGGCCTAGAGGTGTGGTGGGAAGTGGCCCCTCGCTGGGGAAAAGCAGCCGAGGCCGTACTGGGCCCCCTGGGTACAGTGCCCTGGAGTGTGGCTAGAGCCAGGCCTCTCCCTCCTGGGTGTGGGGCTGCACATCTCCCCAGGGTGTCCTTGGGCAAATGGCTTAGCCTCTCTGGAGCCTAGTTTCCTTTGCTCTGCAGTGGAGGTAGGAACGCTCCTGGGAACGCAGAGTGCTGCAAAGCCAAGGACACTTCCTGGGGCAGGTGGTCCCTCTAGCAGAGGGACAGGGGCTTCTGATTTCTCTGGCCTGCTTCACCTGGTGGCTTTCCCCACACGGCAAACCCTGGCAACACGGGTTTCATTGGCGCATGTCCAAGTTCGTGGGACAGTAGATGTTGTGCTGGGAACTGTTCTGTTCAGGATTCCTTATAGACATGAACTCGTTATTGAGCCCATCAGCAGATGAGGAAGTTGAAAGATACGGGGGTTAAATAACTCAGACAACTACCCATAGTGGATGTCAGAGCCTCCCAGTTCGTGCCCTCGACCACCCCCTGGTACCATTACAGGCCACTGCAGCTGAGTTGCCCACTTACTGTCCACTGAGGCTGGGGCCTCACCTGCCTTGTCCCTTGCTGTCTGCCCAGTGCCAACACAGCCCTTGCCCTGGCGCAGAGAAAGGATAACATTGAAAGTGGCCCAGCCGTGCAGCGCTAGTCTGGTAGGCAGGCCAGACCGAGCACCTTCTCCGGCCCGGCGCACTGTGAGGCTCGGGGGGCACTGCCACGCCTGCCCACGCCGCTGCCCTCCACACCAGCCTGTCATCTCAGGCACATTTTTGCTTCTGTTTGTTAGGCCAAAATCGTCCACGTCTCCCTGGACGGCCTGTGCGTCTCGCCTGCAGAGGGCTTCCTCATCCGGAAGGGGCCTGGTAACTGCCACTTTGATTTTGCTCAAGAAATCCTGTTTGTGGACTACCTGCAGGCTCGCCCGCTGCCCCAGCCGGCCCAGAGGTGAGGGAGCAGCACCCGCGGGCACGTCCCAGCCCCGGCCGGGCCCAGGGCGCTGGTGCGCGCGCTCTGAAGCTTGGACCTGAAGGGTTTTGAAATCACGATCAAACGTGTTGCTTTTCAAGTTGGTCGTTTTCTAAAGCTCAGCCAAGCCTCTCCGGAAGCCTGTGGGATGTTCCCACCTTGTCTGGGGATGTTTGGGTTTCTCACAGTCTGGAGTGCTTAAAGATTTTAAATGCTTCATTGCGCTTCCTGCTGGGAAAAGAGGCTGCAGCCTGCCTGATTCCAGAAATGCCCGCTGGCCTGTTCGGGGGAAGGGCCTTCCTTGTCTTGTTTTTGTGTTCCTGATTTAGAAAGATTCAAAGAGAAAAATAGAGCCGAACATTTCATGGGTTCGCTGGGATTTCTTGGTCCCAGTCTCAGCTACATTAAGTTCATAACAATTTGTAAATGGCTGCGTGAAGTTTATTCATTTAAACCCTCGATGTCCAAACACCAGAGGCCAAGGTCTGGAAACAAAGTGAGTTCCCCTCCACTTCACTGGGCCCACTCCTTGGGGTGGTCACTGGAGACCATCATTTAATGATGGCACTGCCCTTGGAAGTGAGAGAAAACCAGAGCTGGATGGAAGGGCACTGGCTTGGGCCCAGAGCCCCCCAAGTGTCTGCTCCAGGCCAGTTCCTTTGGGTTCCTCCAGGGCATCCTCCCAGTCACCCTTTGAAGTAGGAATTAGTATACCCATTTTACAGCTATGGGAACTGAGGCTAGAGAAGCCGCGTGCTCTGGGTCTCAAAGCCAAGACCTTGAGGGCGGCCCCCACCTTCCTGCCGCTTCCCCTGCCTTCCCTCCCACACCACCCCACACTGTGGGCAAGAGACTTCACTTCTGTGTACTCCAGCTTCCTCATCCACAGCCCAGGGAGGTAAAGGTACCCACCCTAGGTTTGTTCTGAGGGCTGGAAGAGTCCCTGTCAGTTGCGCACCAGAATGCCCGTGTTGGCGTGGCGCTGAGCCTCCCTGGAAAGGGCACCGCGGTGAGGAGCAGCTTGTCTTTCTGTCCCCCACGGCCTCCCAGAGAATGCCAAACTGTCCTCTGCCATCAACGTCTGTTGCCTGGGCAATAACTGCCCAGCAGTTCTGGACTGTTCTGATGTTCTGTTTCCGGTGCTGTTTTGTTTTTTCAGGATCAACTCAAAAAGCCTGGAGCGGGCAAGTATGGACTACGAAGCTCCCCTGATGCCCTGCGGCTGTATCCTCCTCCTGCTACCTGCTCACGCTAGGCCCTGGGGGCCACTCCTGGAACCCAGGGAGAGGCCACGGCCCCTGGGCCTCAGCTGCTGACCGGGGTTTCAGGCAGGCCAGTCCAGGCAGCTGGGGCACCATGCGGGGGGATTGAGGACAGGATGCGGGTGCTTCTGGGTTCTTGGGCACACCAGGGGCCACTGGGAGGAGTCCTGCACATCACCCCCTGCTGCTAAGGTTCCAGGAGTTGGGACCCAGGCCTGCAGCTGGGCAGGGCCGCGGAAGCCAGAACTGCCCCCAGAGACCACACCGTCCTGGGCATCCAGCAGGGAGGAGGTGAAGCGTGAGCGCGGAGTCACAATGGTTCAAGCTGACGCGGCCCTTCCCGTGGCCAGGCACTGGTCGCAGCCGCTGCGGGGATGAGCTCAGCCCTCACCACAGGCCTGTGAGGGGGTACCCTCGGCACCCCCACTTAATAGCAGAGAAAGGGGGAAGCCCAGAGAAGGGAAGTCACTCGCTCAAGGCCAGAGCTGTGAAGGGCGGGCGGGGCCCGCTTAGAACATGCCGGCAGCGTCTTCAGCGGTTCTGGAAGGGCTGCCCCTGTGGCCGAGCTGACTGCCCGGCTCCTGGGAGGGCAGAGCCACTGGGACTGCAGAAGATTCCATGAAGGGACTCAGCAGGGCAGCACACAGCCCTCCTGAGCTCCGGTATCGCTCCCCCTCCCCAGACCCCACACACCTGAAACAGAAACAGGAAACAGGCGCTCTTCTTCGTGTTTTGCAACCAGGGAAACTGAGGCCGGAGACACTTTGAGACAATGACTTTGAGACCCAGATGTTTCCTCCTCCTGCCAGCTGCCTGAGAGCCCCTCCCCTCCTGGCCTCCCGCCTCCCGCGGCCTGGAGACAGGCTTTGAATTCTAAACACACATGCATACATGCAATTTAAAGAAAATCTGATACCATCTTTATTTTGATAAGCTTCAGCCTCAGTCAGAGGGAAAAAATCATATTTTTTCCTCATTATCTATATGAACCGAAAAAAAAATTGCTGTTATCTTTGTCATTGTTTTACTTTGTTCTCCAGAAAATTAAGCCCATTTTTCCTTAATAACGTGTCCCAGTCATTTTCCAGTTTCAGCTTCTAACCAGCTGGGGTGACCCCTATTACATTGGTCTCACCGGCCTGGAGCTGTATGATGAGCGGGGAGAAAAAATCCCTCTATCTGAAAACAGTATCCTTTCTTGGCAGAAGGGGGCTCCATCCAGACTGAAAGTGCCTGGGGGGGGGGGGGGCTGGAGAAGGAGCCTTGAATGTGGACGGAAGTTCTCTGCAGGAACCAGACTCCGGGGTTAGGTGCCACTGGGCTCTGCCTCCCGTCAGATGCCCACCCCCGGCGGTGAGCCAGCGGCCTGCAGCTCCCAGCCAGCCTGATGTGGTGGACACAGCAGGAGCCCCCGCGGCCTGGGGACCCCCTGGAGAGCCACAACACTGCTAAAGGCTCTGACAGAGCCTGCAGGGAGTAGTCGAGGGGTCTGTGTCCCACCCTGGATGCTGAAGTATTTGAGCACAGCATTTCGGGGGGCCTATTCCTCGTGAAAGGCCCCCAGAGAGTGCAGACTATTAGCCCAGTGACTTTCCAAGTCAGTCGCTAGTGCTCTTTAAAACACAGGCATTTTCACCTGAAAGCCCCCATCTTCAGCTTCTCTTGAAAAATCGGCACCGTGAGGCCGCAGCCATACAAAGTAATAGCGGCTGGGCCTGAGTCCTCAAGGCCCTTGGTCCCCAGTGCGCCCCTCCAGTTGACCTCAGTCCTCACCTCTCATTGTTAGCTACCAGCTGTCCCCCCAGACATATTGCTAGTACTTACTGAGGGTTCATCGTGGGCCTGGCACGTTTGCCCTCACAACAGTCCTGAAGGGACTGCTGGCATCCTTATTTACAGGTGAGAAACCAAGACCCAGAGAGGGTGAGTGACTTGCCCACGGCCACACAGCCAGGGAGTGGCAGAGCTGGGAGTCCGGCTTCAGGGGCCATGCTTTTGGCTTCTATATGAGCCTCCCTTGTATCTCATGTCACCTTGCCGAGTCCTCTGGGCTCTTAATGTGTGATCTGTGACCCCACGGTTACGGGGCTAACCACCCGAGCCCGCCTACCTGTGTGGGGCCTCTGGGTCCAGCTGGATCCTCTCCTGCCTCTCCCATCCTCCTCCCGGGCAGGTGGCTCTTGGTATACTGGGCGGTTACCTGATTCCTCGCATGTAGCAGGCTCCGTCGACTTTGCCCAGGGCACACACACCCCGTGCCCCCTGAGAGCCTCCCATCGAGTCTGGGACACGGATTTTTATACCACCTTACAGGTGAGGAGAGAGGCCCAGAGAACCCCGGTGGCCGCCAAAGATCTGATTGGCAGGGCCAGAGCTGGGACGGGCTCCCCAGCCCCTTCCGTCTGGGCCTCGTCCTCAGAACCACAGAACCAGCCACGACCCTGTCACCTCCAAGGAAAATCTCAGTTTGCCCTGCAGTGTTCAAAGTCGCGGCAGCCGCTCCAGTGCCTGCCCAGGGAGACGGTGTACTGCTCTCAGGCAGCTCTGTGCCTGGTCTCTCCCCTGCCTGGAAGCTGGTTACCCCCTTCCCCACTGCCCTCTGTGCCCCTCTGTGCCCCTCTGTGCCCTCGCTCCCCCCAGGACACGTCTACTCCGGCTGCCGCTTCTCAGGCTGCCCACAGCAGCAGAAGGCCGCTCTGCCCACAGCCCCGCACGCACCCCCGGAGCCGCGCTGCCAGCGTGGGGAGGAGGGGCCCCGTGGCCCGGGGCGCCCTGCACACTGCTTTGAGTTATGGCAGCTTAGAGACCTCCTCAGATATCGCCGCCTTCCCCGACAGCGTCAACTCCCTGGAGGGAGTGTGTGGGGACGTGCGGACGCCGGACAAGCTCATCGACCAAGTGAACGACACCAGCGACGGCCGGCACATGTGGCTGGCCCCCATCCTGCCCGGCCTGGTGGGTCCCTGGAGGCTCCCGCAAGGGCGGGCAGGGCGACGCTCCATTCCAGTCTCGGTGACATGTCTGTTCCAGGTCAAGCTAAGCTAATCTGGACTAAGTCAGCTTGCCCGGGAGCAGTCATGAAGGCTCAGGTCTTTGCACCTGAGGGGGAGGGCATTTCCGGAACAGCTGTTCTTTCTCTTCGCTGCAGGGGTGGTTAGCACAAGGGACCCCAGGGAAAGAAGTGGCCAGGTGGGGCTCCAGGCCAGGAGCCCTGGGGCAGCAGACCTGGGCGCCCTCGGGGCCTCCGCCCAGGGTCTCTGCCGGTTTCTCTCCACGACCTCTGTCTGGGTCTGCTCCCTCCCAGTTCCGTCGTCTCCACACTCACTGTGCTTGCGCCGTCCTGAGTCACCTGGCACTGGGCCCCGCCTCAGCCTCCACCTGGTCCCAGGCCTACCTGGTCTGCTCTTTCAGCCAGCTGATTCCATTGCCCAGACCGTGCAGCTGGTCCTGCTGATCACTGTGCTCCGGGGCCTGCTGTGAGCCTAGAGATGGGCCTCCGCCTGCTAGGCCTGGTCCGTGGTGAGGGCAGGAGACACAGGACAGGGCAGGCGGGGGAGCCACATGCAGGAGGGCGGGGGCGGGGGTGGCTGCCTCTGTACTCTGTGACCTGACAGACGGAGGGCTACATTTTCCTCCCAGAACGCAGGAAGTACTTGCAGTTTTGTGACAGGTTTTCCAAATCCCTCCCCAGCAGCTTCCCTGGAGCAGACACCAGCCGTCAGCCCTTACCCCATTCCCTACCCCCCCCAACCCCTCCACCCCCCTTGGCAAGGAGAAGCACAGCTCTATGGGCCCTCAGTCCAGGGCTGCAAACGCACGGCCATCTTGAGCTCCCTACGGCCATTTATCATCTTTAAGGAAGGCCTTTTGCCAGGGGGCATTTCTCCAGCTGTCACTCTCCCAGCCCCGTCCCCTCCCCCCGCGCGCACACACACACACACACACACACACACACACTTATCTCCATGGTCCAGTAAGAAGCTGGAGCCTCCCTCAGCGGCGCAGCCCTCGGGCCCTCCAAGGGCCGTCTAGAGATGACCACGGGCAGGGCACACGGGCCTGGGGCCACACTGAGCTGAAACCTATGGCCAACCTATGGCCGACACCCACGCACATCGCGCTACTGTGTCCTGCAAGGGGCCCCCTGACATTCAGGTCGTCGCTGGGGAGAGCTGCTGGAGGCGGTTGAATCCCACCGACTGACGGATTCTGCCGCCGACCTGACAGTCCCCCTCTGCCCCAGCGGAGGCTCACAACCCGCAGGGAGCTCCGCAGCAGCGCCTGCCGTGCTTTTCATTTATGATTTGGCAAAGGACAAACAGGGGTCAAGGCTGCTCTGATTGCCTGGGTGCTGCTTCCTGCCTCTCGAGTGGGGGCCTGTCCCTTCAGCCCAGACCGCATAGCAGGGCTTGAACAGACTTCGGGGTGGGCGGGGTGCTCTGGGGGGGGGCCAGAGAGCACCCAATTCTCCTCGGGTGTTCAAATGGGGGCCACGCCAGGCCCAAGAACCAGGCCCTCTCAGAGCCAGCTCAGCGGTTTGCTGCAAACGCAGCCACACGTGAGCTGACTCCAGATCCAGGGCCGAGAGGCAGGCTGGTGCCTGGGACCGAGCTGCCTCGGGCGCCCGCGGGCTGCTCCCGCCCGCGCCGGCGCCCCTGGCCCATCCACGCGCCCCTGCTTCCAAACGTGCCTGTTCTTATTAGTGCCTCTCTCTGACAGGTGAACCGGGTTTATGTGATTTTCGATCTGCCGACCACCGTGTCAATGATCAAACTGTGGAATTACGCGAAAACGCCCCAGCGAGGGGTGAAGGAGTTTGGCGTGAGTGCTTATTAGCTGGGTTTTTGGAGCTCATGATGCTCATTGGTAATGAGGCCGCCGGCAATGATCATTTGTCGCAGTTTGCGTGACTTCGTTGTGTTGCAGCCTTAGCCACAAATGCCTGGCCCTCTGTGCCGGAAACCTGCCACCCAGCCGTGAATTGAAAACCTCCTCCCAGCAATTTGAGTCATCATCCCGAATAAACAGAGTGGCTCTTCTTTCAACTCTTCTCAAACCATTCTGGCTTCTTGGGGGAGGCGCTCCTAGGGCTGCAGAAGGGGGCCCCAGAGCAGAATCCCAGCCCCCACTTGGGCTAGTGGTATTTAGTCCTGGGAACCTTCCCGCCCGCAGTCTGGGGCGGAGCGTGTGCCCTCCCTGCGCCCCGACCTCCTGACGTGCTGACGCAGCCAGCGGTAGGCACCCCCCCACCCCCCCACCCCCCGCACAGGAAGGCGCTGCCTGAGGTCACGGGCGTGCGGAGGGGGGTCACCAGCCCCGCTCTGTGTCTGCCCAGCTCCTGGTGGATGACCTGCTGGTGTACAATGGGATCCTGGCCATGGTGGGCCACCTGGTCGGGGGCATCCTGCCCACCTGTGAGCCCACGGTGCCCTACCACACCATCCTGTTCACCGAGGACACGGACATCTGTCACCAGGAGAAGCACACCGCCATCAGGTAGGCCCCAAGCCCGCCACGCACCCTCCCTCTCCCCGAAGCCCTAACGAGGACGGATGACAGGCCTGCAAAGCCTGGAGCTTGATCGAATCTTCTGTCTTCTCCCTCCGGCAGTAATCAGGTGGAGGATCAGGATGTCCAGATGATGAATGAAAACCAGGTCATTACCAACTCGAAAAGGAAGCAGAAGCAGAGCCCAGTGGACCCAGGTAGGTTTCAGCTTGTGCCCAGAAGTGCCCTCAGGAGCGTGGTCTGGAGAGAGAGACCATCCCCAGCCCTGCCTGTCCGCCAGCCTTCTTCTTCACCCAGGAGTCCCCCCAGGGGGCAGGCAGCCCTCTCCCTGCACACCTCTCCCTGCCTGGCGTGGCTTCCTGGAAGCCAGGGAAAGGGCTTCCCAGAGAAGGCGGCATCTGAGCTGATGGGGCTGCCAGGCAAAGGGGCACAGCCCCTCTGGGCGGGGCGAGGGGGGCCAGCCAGCAGCAGCAGGTGGTGCCATGTCCCCGGGGGCCTTGAATGACACCCCAAGCAGTTTGGGGCCCCCCAAGAGCCTGGGGCACCCCTTGAGGTCGAGGATGGTAACCCAGATACCCTTGTGCTCTCCATCAACAGCCTTACGCCCCAAAACCTGCATAAGCGAGAAGGAGACAGCAAGACGGTGGCGGTGCTGACTGGCTGTGGCGAGAGGGCTGGTCCCCCCCCACCAGGGTGGGCCCCACCGTTGCCCCCCAGCACCTGTGCTCCTCCCCTCAGCCCTCAGTATGAACCAGCTGGGACCCAGGGGCTGGACAAGGGCTGCAGATGGCAGGGAGCCTGTGGGCGAGAAGGGGTGGCTGGCCCTGGAGGCAGGAGGGGGCTGCTGTCAGCGGGTGTGGTCTTCCCTGCGTCTGGGACCAAATACACCTCTCCTGTAACATCCAGCCAAGCAGGACTCGAGTCCACTCACGCCTGTCGTGAGACACCTGGGCAGCGCTGGGTCCGGTCAGGACAGCTAGGTGGACTGGGGGTTCTGCCCTCCCAGGCTGCTCGGTGGCCAGAGCCTGGCTGAGCACAGGCCTCGCGGCCAGCACCGGTGGCGTGTCCCGTGAGGCCCTGTCTTCGGAGGCCGCCACGCTCACGTCCCTGCTGGGCTGGGTGTCGCTGGCGGCTGGCCGAGGGGTGGGTTTGTTCCCTCAAATCCCACACATGGAGCCAGGACTGCCACTGCCCCCATTCAGCCCAGCCCCCGTGGAGGAAGGATTCCCCCGAGAAACTGGACCTGCCGGGGCCTCTGCCTTCCTGTCAAGTCTGAAAAGAGATTGATTAAGGGCACGTGACCTGCCGAGGAAAGAAAAGAAGCCGTCCCCACCCCTGCAGGCCGGGCCCTGGTCTCCGCTGCGCTGCCGGCCCAGATAGGACTGGCGGGCGGGCAGCTTCTGAGCCCACAATCCAGCGCGGCCTGTCGGAGGCCCTTGCCGTGCCGGGAGACAGGACCCGTGCCACAGCCCTCCCTGGGCCCCCCACACTTCCTGCCTGCCCTTCCCTTGAACTTGGGAGGCAGGAGCGCTCCCTGCTGCGCCCCGTGTGATCTGAGCACGGGCTTCCCTTGCTGCCTCTTCTGGCTGTGCCCTCCGAAGCAGGCTTGGGGGTCCAGCCCCCCCCTTCCAGCAGCTTCCCGTCAAGTTGGAAATGTGCCTTGCACCCCCAGCCAGTGAGCCCCAAACGCATCTATTTCCATCTATGTAACAAGCTCGGATCAGGGACCTAATTGGTTTCCCAGCGGTGGGTAATTTCTTGTTCCAAATATTAATCCGTTGTTTTCCTGGCACCCGGCCCGGCCCGCTGCGTACTGTACTCCAAGTGGTTCCTACGCAACCGAGAGCCGGCAAATACTTTATGAGCTTTGCAGCTTCCGCTAGCAGCTATGCAAATGTGCTTTTCATTTGGAGCTGGGGCTGATGTGAAGATAAGGAATTGTTTTTCCCTGAGAAGAGCCTTCCGTTTCTGTAGCTTCTGAGACCCCAGCTTCTCCGCTCACCTTCCAGATGTGGTGAGTGCCCTGAGGGGTCTGGCTCCCCAGAGAGCTGGGGGGCTGCAGTTCTGGGGCTGTCAGGCTGATCAAACCAGCTCTTGGTGACCGAAACTGATGCCGTCAATTTCAAGGGGGCCCCAGCTCTTCACTGGTACAGGGGCGCAAGTTAGATTTGTGGGGGAGATTGCACAAACACCGGGCACCTCACTCCGGGGATCACAATTGATGTTGATAATAATTGTATGTACCATGCAATTTAGGGAGGGAAAAAGCGCTGTGTAGGCATTAAGTCTCAAAGAAATTTCTATTTTTTTCTCTAGCAAAATCAATAAAAGATGTTCTTAGGAATACAGTTTGACACACTGGATTTGGGGTCACACAGAGGGGTGCGGCTGCCTCCGGGAACTGAGTCGGAGGCCGCTGGGCCGGCGGCGTGGCAAGGCCAGTGCCCCTCTGAGCCTCCCTGTCCCAGCTGCAGAGGGGCCCTGGGTCCTGGCCAGATTCCAGAGCCCGTCTAGACACGCGGAGTGGTTAGTGCAGCCGACTCAACTCGTTTAATCCACATAGCAACACCAGAGGGTAGCAGCCTCTGAGCAGAGAGGTGCAGTGCCTTGCCCAGGGCACACAGCATGGGCACTACCAGTCAAGACACAGCGCTGGCGTAACCCCAGAGCCGCAGCCAGGTGACCCCGAGTCCCGGGGTTCCCTTCAGTCTTACTTGCTCCTCAGCACCCCCTCCTGGCGGCTCTTGGCTCCCGGAGAAGTTAGCGCTCGGGTGGGAAGATTTAGCTGAAGGGGGTCAGAACGAATGCTCGGGCACCCCAACTGCATGGGCGCGAGGATAGAGGGCCCACTGGGAGCCCCAGCCCCCCTGACCGGAGCCAGGGAGCGGAGAGAACCCCGCCATCCACCCTTTGTGTTGCAGAACATGGCGGAGCCACGGGTCGGGGTCGGGGCGCCCCGCGCTCTGTCCCCACCGCGTTCCCACAGGCAGCAGGGTCCTGCTCTACCGGTCACCCAGCGGGGGCCGTTGCAGCTCTGGGTCGCCCCGGACCCCCCACATTGCACCTGGAGGGCGGGAGACCTGGCAGGCCTTCCCGCCGCCGCCTCCCCCGCCACCAGCCCGTGCCTCCCCTTCTCCCAGCCCAGCCCTGCTGTTGGGGGCCCGGTGAGTGAGGTCAGAGGCACCCCTGGCCTGCAGGGACGGGGAGGGGGCAGCACCGGCGTCTCGGAGGGCGCAGCTCGTTTCCCGTCGCCCCCAGTGCCAGGCCCTCAAGGTTTTTCCGAGAACCCAGAAGACCAGCGTTTATTTATTTATTTTTGAATGTGAAATCTTTGAATTGTTGGCCCAGCGCCAACAAGCAAATAACCCAGGAAGCCGGACGCCCCGTGAGCAGGCAGGCGCCCCCGGCCACGGCCCCGCACGCCCCTCGGCCCCTTCACCGGCCTGGGCGGGAGCCGGCTGCAGGGAGGCGGCCAGCCTCAGCCCTCGGGGAGGCCAGGGGCCGCCCTCCCGTCTGGCCGCGTCCCCGCCCCACCCCACACACTCTGGGGGGGACTTAGCCCCGGGCGGCCACCGGGAGGGCTGGCCAGTGGGCCCACCCAGGCGGGCTCCTGAAACGAATTTGGCGGCAGTGGACGGGGCGGCTAACTAGCAGGCGCCATGCGGCGCGGGCCTACCTCTGGGCAGCAGGGCCCGACTGCCCTACCCGGAGCCCCGCCTTCCCCCCTTCCCGCCTTCCCTTCCGCCCCACCCGGAGCCGGGCTCTTCCCTTTCGCACACCCCGCCCGCCCTGCACGCACTCACCTACACTTCAACCACAGAAGACCTCAAACGCGAGGACCAGCCCGGACCACCCCTGCTTCTCAGGGCAAACCGGACGCTCTGGCCCCGCAGCCCGAGCAGCTCTGCACGGCTGCAGCCCCCGCCAGCCCCTCACCGGAGGGCTTCTCCCGTGCAGAGGCCCCTTCGCACCCCGCTTGGAGTCCTGGGCCCCGCACTCAGCCCCCCGCCCCCCGCCCCAGGGCGCTCCTTGCCAGGCCTCTGGCCACCAGCCCCTGCGAAGGAGCTGCTCAGGCGCAGTCACATGAAATGAGGCCCCAGAAGCAATTATACCAGGCGTGGGCGGCCTTGCAGGTCACAGGCGAGCCAGCGGGACTCCCGCTGTCTGTGCGGTGGGTCCCCACCGGAGGAGGCTGACTCCTCCTGACAGATGGCCCCACCTGGGCTGAGTTTCCCCAGGCCTGTGCCCGCACCACGCAGTGGGGCCCCCTGTACAAGGCCCCGCAGCCCGGGCGCCCCACTTCGAAGCTGAACTCCAGCCCCGCCACGCTGTGCACACAGGCCCTGAACGCCCGGCCAGCCCCACCCGTCCCTCTCACCCCTCACGGGGCCCCTCCCAGGGTCACAGCAGTCTAAGCAACCCCTCCGTCTCCCGTCTGCAGAACCTGCTGCAGCCCCCGCTCCTTGGTCACTCTGCCTCCTCGCACCCAGCCGTCTCCCAGGCCCCCATACACGGCCAGAAGGGACTTCCAAAATGCAGGACAAACCGGGTCAGCCCTGTCGCGGTTCCCTGTGGTCTTCCAGGTGAAGGCTGACCCCAGCCCCAGCGCTCTGACCCCAGCCCACTGTACAGAACGGCCCTCGTGTCCTCGCCCCAAGCTCCAAGCACTGTCCTGTCCTAGTGCCCCACACACCACACGGGGACCCAACGGCCCCAGGGCCTTCGCACATGTCACTTCCGCCCACGCTCAACCTCTCCACCTCCTTCCTCACCCTTCGGGCCCTGCGGTGAGGGCCCTTCCTCCGAGGCCCACTCTCACCCTCCAGTTTCAATCAGTCCTTCCTTGGTTCACTGCCCAGTTTCAAATGATATTTCCATCGTTAGGGCTGAGTTATCCCTGCCTCCTCCCGGGAATATGCGCCTGGGTGAAGGCTGCCAGGCCCACTGAGGAGGCTCCACGCACAGCCTAGTGCCTGGCACACAGAAGCCCCTCTGAAAACAGTTCTCGGTGGACAGAGTCACCGGGCTGAGTGGTCTCAGCGTTTGCGTCCCGGCGGGACTCTGCTCCTCTTCCGTCCTCCCAAGCAAGGGGGCAGCTCTCAGCTGTGGCGGCTCTTCCCAGAGGATGGCCCCCACCCTCAAGCCCGCCTGGCCTGCAGGCCCCCCGCCGCCACAGACGAACGCCCATGAATCAAGCTGACGTTTCCATTACCCGAGGGAGATGAGTATGTGGCCGAGGCGGCTGGCGCTGGTGGGGGTGGGTGGGGGCTCGCTGCAGCCATCCGTCAAGGAGAGAAGTCAGCCGGTGACATCCCGGCCTGCCCGTAGCCGCGGCCCCAGGACCCTCTGCCCGGCGGAGGGAGAGAGGGGGCCGGGGCCAATGAGCGAGCCGGCAGGGCGCTGCCGGGCACCGAGCTCATGCAGACATGGCGCAGGGCAGCAGAGGGGCGCCTTAGCCCCGAGCACGCATGAAGGACTCACTCACGCGCACACAAGTCTGGAGGCTGGGGGTGGGGGCGCTGGGTGTGCAGGAGGTCAGAACCAAGCTGCGAACAAACTGCGGGGCTATGGGTCAGGTCAACGTGTGGGTGTCGCGACAACCCCCCAAAGCCAACAGCCATTCCATGCATCTGGGAGAGCTGCTTGTGGGGGAGGGGGTTTGCTTTCCCATCCAGGCCTCTGGGTGCTCACCCAGCACCCCTGCCTTCAAGCCACGTGGTCTTGCCTCCTCCCAAGTCCAGGCAGAGGGTGGCGTTGCTCCCTGCTGGGAGACAAGGGTCCCCATAACTCCCATAGTGACCTTTTAGGGTCCCTCAGCAGGCCTGCCTGGAAGTGCTGCCTCTGATCTAGCCAGTTGCCTTCTTGCTGCAGACCATCTGCAGGAGACTGCAAGGCCACTGTGCTCACCCGCTGCCCAGCAGGGGCCCAGGAAGGGACAGGAGGCCTGGAAGCTGGCCCCAGGGGCCTCCTGGCTGTCCCTCACCCTCCCAGCCTGCCTGGGCTTCCCACATACCATGGTCACATTCCACTTGCACGATTATTTATTGAATGTTTGTTTTCAAACCGACTCTTTTTCTTTTGACTTAAGTGCCTATTTTGGCTTCATCCTAAGCAATAATGTCTATGAAATCAGGGCACTCATGTGCCCATTATACATTTTTTCTAATACACATTTACATAAACACAACTATTAAAATAGATTAAAATTTTGCCCATGTATCCTTTAAAATCATCTCCCGCACCTCTGAGGGCCACTTGCCCACTTCAGCAGAAACGAGGGTGAGAATAAAGGGACCCCAGGTGCCCCAGCCTGATGCCTGCTGGACACCCCCCTGCAGAGTCTGTATCTGCAGGACTCTGGCTTTTCCCAAACTCCAAACTCCTTTCCCGACACTCAAGACCCCAGGAACTGGGCCCGCCCCCTCTTCCCAGTTCCATTTCCCTGCCCACCCATATAGCAGGTCTGAAATATTGAATGAATGAGTGAATGAATGGAAAATGAATGAACGAAGCCCTCTCTGGTTACTCAGCACACGCCCGGGCAAAGGTGCGCCCCACCTGGTGTCCTCCGCACTTGCACCTGGGGGCGCTGGGCTGCTCCGCTAAAGCCCCTGCCCTGAGCACCCTTCCCTTCCTCCACATCAGCGCCCCCCAGAGGATGATGTCCCCCAGACTAGCTCCTCCATCTGCGCCCACTGCGCACCCCACTGCGCACCCCAGGGCTCCGGGGCTCAGCCAGACCGCTCTCCTGCCTCCTCCCTCCTCCCTGCAGTGGGGTTGGGGCCGGGAGTTGTCTGCTCATCTCTGCCGTGCACAACCACGCTGACCTTCCTCATCCCACGCAGACCTCACCAGAGTTCCTCTAGCACCTGCCAGGCGCTCCCCCCTCTGCTGCGAGCACCAGCACCGGCCGCCATGGCGCAGTTACGGCTGAGCTTGTAGGGCGCGAGCCCCTGGCCTGGCTCCAACCCCCACCCCAGCCTGACCTCCCATGCCACGCTGCTGCCAGCCTTCTCTCCACACCTGCCACCTGGGCCACCTTGACGCCCCACGATGCTCCCCATTTCCTCCCACACTGCTCTCCTGCCTACCTGACATCTAGACAAACCTCATCGCTTGTCTTAAATGCCATTTTCCCAATGGAGCCCTCCCGGCCACACCCTCACATCTGCTCCCCATGCAGGTGCTGACTCTGGGCTCCACTGCCCTGATCCCTCCTCCAGATAACAGCAACCCCCAAGCAAAGCATCTCCCTGTGCAGGGCTCTGTTCTAAACGTGCATCTACTCGTTTAACTCTGAGAGCAGCTTTAAGAGTTAGGTATAAAGATTATTCCCACTTAACAGAGGGGGAAAGTGAGGAGCAGAGACATCAGGTAACCCACCATGGCCTCCAGAGGAGGCGCTAGAAACTGAAGGCAAGTGAAGTGTCCAGAGCCAGGCACCAGACCCTCCACTCACTGCGCCGTGACCTCTGGGGAGTCCGACGTCCTCTGTCCACACACTCCGAGGACAGCACTTGCCGCACACCTACCATAGTGCTTGGTGCATAGTAGGGACACAGGGGGTTATCTCATTGGATAGATGGAAACACAGCTGGTTGGGTGAGTAATGAGGATGGGTCCTGGATGAAAGGAAGCTGGTTGGATGTCTGACACAGGAGAGAAGACAACTGATGGATGAAGATGAGTGGATGGGTGGATGGGTGGGTGGATGGGTGGATGGATGGATGGGTGGATGGATGGGTGGATGGATGGATGGATGGATGG